GTGTGTGTGTGTGTGTGTGTGTGTGTGTGTGTGTGTGTGTGTATACATGCATGTGTGTGTTACTACATGTAACATTTGTTTTTCTGGTACAAAGGGTGTGGTAGGTGGCTTCACATTAATATTCTTTTGATGTGTCTCAAATGCATCTTACTTTCATTAACACCCCCCTCCCCCCTTTTCTCTCTCTCACCCCGACATCAGCTTCCATTTGTTGCCATGGCAACTGTGTTTGATCTCCTCTACTCTGCCCCTCCATTTGAGCACCCTTCTTGTCACCCCATTTCTTTCCCACTTTCCCTCTTTTTTTTCACCCAGATGCACACACATACACACACACACATACACACAGACTCTTCTCTGTCTTTTCTCCTCCTTGTCCTGCTCTCCTGCCCCCCCACCCCCACCCCCACCCCAACTACCCAGACTTTTTACAGAGGCAGTCCACACCCTCCCCTCTCTGCTAGTTCTGCAGTTCTCTCCATCTTTTCAATTTTCAATTCTCCCCTTTCTGACCCCTTTCCAAAATACACCCCGACCCAATCTACTCACACCGCACCTCTTCCTCACAGTTTTGTGTGCTACCTCACCTTTTGAATTATTCATGTGATCTCATTGGTCACCCTGGTGACACACCATCAGGAGGTGCAATCTTCTGATCGACATGCTGACCTTGTCGCTGTTGCATGTGTGTTTATGTGTGTGTGTGTGTGTGTGTGTGAGTTGGATGTCACATATGGCACATGGTGTGTCACAATAGTAGAACCTAGTTGTAATCATATGTAATGGTACATTTCATTATTGCAGTCTCAAGCCAGGTGGATTAGTCTCTGTTGTAATCATGATTAGTGTATGGAGAGCTGTAGGTTTGTGTGTATTTGTCCATGTTTTATTGATTAGTCTGAAAAGCCCCTTCAGAAGCCACCAAGCAAAAGAAGGAATAACAAACCTTAAGATCAGCACCCGATCACTGGCTCTTACGAGGTGATATTACTTGTTAATGTGCTGGTTATGGCCACACTCTCCACACAAACTGAAAAAGTACTTTTGTCATTTCATAAACCTTAAAATGTTCAGTTTTTCGTTGAAACAGCATAACGGAAGTGTTGATTGAAGGTTTTTTTTAGCCCCCTTCTTATGGTGTGCTTGTATTTTATTGCATTTCATTTTAAGCATTATCTCCTTTCTTCCTGTATGGCATATACGATTTCAGCACCTGCTTAACACAGTCTCATAAAAACAAAACACAACTTCACAAAGACAGCCCAGTTTTTCTGGGCTAATATAAGGGCTTTCATCAGAGAGTGACAGCAATCATGTAATTGTGTCAACCTCTTGTGCTAAATGATATTATGCCATTAAATCCATTGAGGCCTCTTATCAGTGACAGCCAGGTTCTCAGTTCAGATTAAATGTGTGATGTTTATGAGGAATGTGTGTGTTATTTTAACTGGAATCATCTGGTTTCTAATGAACACTCCCTTGTGAAATCACTGGCCCCAAAACAATCAGAAACAAGGGAAGCTTGTTGGCGATTTACTCTGCAGCAGCATTGTATGCAAAGCAGCCTGTTATACTCCTAACAGAGAGCCCATTAGTATTCACACACAGGCCTCTGCAGTGATCAACACAGGTTCAGGCATGCAGGAGAGAGAGAGGACTTATATTCATACTCATATTCTGTATTCATAAGACTGTTGTTATCAGCTCTAACCGGGCTAACTGTAACACTGTGAGGCACTTCTTTCCCTCCTGTGTCTGTGTGTGTGTCTGTCTCTCTCCACCTATACTGCACACCCACACGTATCTGCAGATTCATGCACACTGGCACATACACACCAAGGTGTGAAGTGTGAGATTGCAGGCACGGTTGTCTTTTTCCCGCAGAAGGTATTGACCCGTGTTGACACCTCATCAGAGGTGTGATTGCTGAGCCACATTTGAGTTTTAACATAACGCAGCATTTATAGCTCATTTTGAATCTAATGCGTTGCCGTATGAGAACTAAGCAGCAGAACCCGTATCAGGTGTCTGTAAAATGATTGTCTTCATCACACACAGACACAGTACATACACACAATTTAAGTGTCTGTAGGAGGTCTGGTCAGATGGTGAATACATAGACCCAGCACTGAGCTCTATTCCTGGCAGCACAATCAATAGTGTACAAACACAGACATACACACACTTGTATTGGACTCATCAAAATGGAATAAAGAGAGGGAATTGCATTATAAGCCATGTCCAGATACTCAGAATCCCATCATCTAACATAACATGATTCATTAAATAAACATAAACCACACACACACACACACACACACACACACACACACACACAAACAAAGGAGTACACTAGTTAGTCGTCCCTTGTTCATATTTTGCTGCAGGATTGTCCAAAAAGTCCCTTCAGGGTGTGGCGCAGTCGTGCAGCAGCAGCAGAGCAGCCATGCATGTAAAAATTAAAACCAGGCTGTGTCTGCACACACACAGTCAGAGTTCATGTGAAGGAGTAGGAGATTTTTTGTGCACCTCTGCGCAAGTGTTGAAGACCGTTTGGCTGTTTTGAAATCACTCCAGGTTTGTGCCAGAGTGGAGCGTGTCTGAGGATGTTTGTTTTCTGCAGCGTGTCTGTCTTTATTGAATTGTAGGTGTTGGAGAGATTTTTTTTATCGTCTTGTTTGCTGCCTGCTGTTACTCCTCTCTCTTATCTCCTCTGCAGTTATGTGTGTGCGTGTTTGTGTGCTTTGTGTTTGTGAACAGCGATGTTTAAACCAGCGTGACTCATCTTTAGACTGCACTTACTCAAAGATGTAAGAGCGTGTTTTCGATGTTTAGCAAAGCATTGATCAGCACTTTTGACGACTGAACCTGAACCTGGATTAGATAAACAATGTTTCAACACTCTTTTCGATTGGTTCGAATGAATACGCCGGGCCGTATCAACTCTCAGAGAACAAACTCCAAATAACTGTCAGTAAAAATCGGTATTTGTCAACACTGGAAAATATACTGTGTGTAACCTACAAGCAGCCAATAATATACAGTGATCCACAGATTGAACAGGGATATAGCACCAGCTGGACTGAGCTTAGTGGGCCGGCTGCAGTTCAGGCGTTGGTTTATGTGTGAGAGTGTGTGTGTTGAAGTAATTTTCTCTGAAAAATAAAGAGACGACAATCAAAGGAGAGAGACAAACGGACAGTGCGATAGAGATGAAAGTGCAGAAAATTGCTGCATCTGAACAAGCACTTCTGACTTCATCTAAATGTGTTTTTAAATTTGACTAAATGTGGTTTAAATAAGAGAGGGAGGCATAGACACAGACATGACATCTTTTTTTTTTGGTAGTAATGATAATTTGATGATAATTTCTTCACTTCATATCAAATGAAGAGAGTTGTCACACTAGTAAATAGAGTATAGAATAAAACTTTGTATGGGCTTGAATCATCCGTACATACTCACAAAGGTATGATAAAGACTTGATTTTACACTTTCGACCATTGCCTGAAAGAGAGAAACGAACAACGTGTGTTGATTGACACCACAACAAATACTGATTATGTAGTACCATTACAGAAGCCTGATCTTGTCTTCCTCTCTTTGTGCCACAGAGCCTGAGAATCACATTACTGCTTTCTGCTTTAGAAACATACAACATGAAACCCTATGCTATTACAGCCTCCCATGAATAGGAGAATGAATAGAGAGAAACAGGGATGGAGAGAGACAGAGACGCTGCGGGGGTGTTAATTCATTATTCATCCTTTGATTTGACATTAGAGGTCAGTGTCAGTGTATGTTCCTCCTCTGCTCTCTCCATCCTCCTCATCTTCGATCACTCTCTCCACTCCTCATTTGTGCAGATTCATATCCTCACTGGGAGCTTTAGGCTTACAGGGTATTGGTTTTTACTGCGTCTGTGCATCAGCAGAAATTGTGCCTACCAGTACCGGGGTGTAAGCTCTGTTTGCGATTGTGTGGTAGTGTGGAAGTGGAGTGTGCTGTGTGTGTTCATCTTTTGCATGTGTTTTGGATAATAAGTCCTGATGCTTTGGTTTGGTCTCTGGTTTTTTTTCTTTCTCTGTCTCCCCACCCTCTGTCAATATCAACTGAGTTTATGCCAATGGTTCCTCATAAGTCAACATCACGTTAGACTGGTTTGGGGTCTCATCAAACAAGATGTGTTTATGAAAATGACCCAGTGATTCCAGCTTCTGTCAAACCCTGTGTCTCTGTACAGAAACTGGACACGTGGACCAGGTCGTCATCGAGCGTTACAACACCCCAGGCTTCGTCGGGTGTTTGTCGCGGGTACAGTTCAACGGAGTCGCCCCCCTCAAGTCTGCTCTGAGAACAGCCACACAGGCTCAGGCCACACCGACAGACGATCAGCCAGACAGACAACCTGAAGGCGCATCGCCGGTGTCTTACCAAGGCAAACTGGTGGAGTCCAACTGTGGGGCGTCACCTCTCACCATCCCACCAATGTCTGCTGCAACAGATCCCTGGCATCTGGACAACACAGGTGAGAATTACCCTAAACATTACACTGATGTTACAAAGTCAAATTCAGAAGCACGAACAAGTATCACTCTTCACTTCTTCGTGGCAGAGAGAAGTTCAAAACCGAAGCAAATTGAACAAACTGCAAACTGTCAACAACTCTACATAATATGGTGTTACCTTTTTACAATGTATTTGCATTGGCCGTTCTAGCAGCATGGCTCCAGGGATTGCAATATCTATTGCAATGCAACTACTGGACATTCATGGTGTCCTGACTATGTATCCTAAACACTTCATCCCCTGACTTTTCCTGTAGCGTGACCATGAGATTAATATTTGAGTGAAATACTATTGGACAGATTGCCATCAAATCAACCTTTGTAGTACTTTGCATTTTAGCGCCAATCAGCAAATACTCGCATACCAACAAACTAAAACAGTGGCCATGGTAAATGTTATACCTGTTTAGAGTGTCACTGAGCATGTTAGCATGCTATTGTTAGCATTTACCTCAAAGCACCATTGTGCCTGAATACAGACTCACTGCCTTGTTATTCCACATATAACTCTACTTTAGAATTATGATCTGTGCCAGAGGCAGTGCTGGGACACAGCAGCGTCTAATATACTGAATGTAAAATATTAATTCATTCAGCATTCTGCTGAGAAATCATAGGTGCTTTAATAATGAGCAGCTAACTAATAACTTCCTACAGTTACTACATACAGTTTACAACTGCAAATTCATTCTGTTTTGAATCAGCTCAAGTTGGCAAATTTAGGCACATACACATGCATATCATTACGCATATGTGCACAGTATGTGCACATACAACAAATATAGTAATTGATCCCTTACACAGTTACATGCTCTACCTCTGTTTCAGGCGTATATGTTCACGAACACACACACACAAACCTCACTGCTCTTGTGTCTAATGTTAGGTTCCACAGCAGTTCAGTATTCCAGGGTGTCATTATTCTGAATGCAGCCGTTTTCCTCTGGCTTAGTGCCAACTTTGCCTCTGGGAATGTTGAGCTCTCTAAGATCAATCCAGTCAATTGATCTGGAAACCAGGTCCAAACTCACAGTCAGCTCTCCACCATCCTTCCACAGAAAGGATCAATATTTATTCTGCTTTACATTTTCTATAGATATCATCCATAATAATTTTCTGTCTGACTCCTCATTGATTTTCAGTTCCCATCCTCCTAGCGTTTTTCCATTTTAAGTTTTTACTTTACAAGCTTCACTCGTCTTTCTGCCGTTGTCTTTTATTGTTTCATATGTGATGATATCCAAACACATCCACACAGACTATAGACAGACAATAATGAGTCTGATTGCTCTTCTGTGCTCTATAGCGTTCTATTTTCACTGCCTTTTCCCTTCTCAGCCTCCTCTTCTCCTTTACTTCTCTGGAGAAAGTATGCAGTCAGCAGCAGAAATAGCTGATAGCAATAAGATAGAGATCTCAGCAATATCATCTTTCTCCTTGTAGTTCTTCTCTTTATCTTTAACCACCTCCTCCATTCATCTCAAACCTTCATCTCTCTCTTCACTCATTCACCCTCCACTTATGTCTATTCAGGGAGAATCCGAGCACTTAGATAATTGCTGCTGACAGAGAACTATAGTGGACGGGCAGCGGCAGCAGCTGTCATTAACCTCTTAACCTGTCATGGATCTTTAATTTAATACTTAAAACACTGCTGCCATACGTTACATAAACTGCACTAGTCATTCCCTAAAGCTAACACTCATGCGTATATTTAGCTGAATGACTGATGTATGTATGTGGCAAAGCTGGAGCCAGTATAGGAGAAACCAAGCGATGTGTCTGTCCTCCTCCAGTGGTACATTACAGTGCATTCTGGTCTTGTTTCAGTGTTGAATAGCACACTTTAACATTATAATTCAGCACATGTTTTGCATGAAATTATTCCTTGTGACTTTTTACGTCTGAAAAACCACCAAGGGCTCTATTTTTAGGCCGGTACAAAACAGCACCATGACATGCTGGCATTTTCCTGACCTTGAAATGCATTTATCTGTCTGGTATTTTAATATGCGCAAATTGGTCTAGTGCAGATATTCTGGCAACATAAAACATCAGAAAAAAGTTTTATTTTTTTATGTTTTCTTCCCCTCTCTCTCTCTATCTCTGTGTTCAGATGCTGAGTTCCCCTTTAATGAGGAGAGGGTGATTCCTGATGGAGTCAACAGGGACTCGGCCATCATCGGAGGTACACAATGTCACATTTGTGAAAGTACTCTTTGTCAGATTTGTATATGAGGTGTCAAGCGGTAACTTTACATGCTTAAACATAACGTGAAGTTCAGCTTGTGGATCAGTAGAGAGCACAGATTTGTGTTGTGTTGAAGGGTAGTGTAAGATGCACTGTTCATTGTTCACATTTGTTATCATATATGACACAAAAAAATCGACAAATTCTCACATTTGAGGAGCTCGACAAATTCTCACATTTGATTTCTGGAATCACCTCAGCTGTGCACTGAAAATACTTTGCAACAAAGTTGGGAGCAATGTATCCTCAGTAACACAGTGATTATAGATAATGCCCACTTATTATCGTGCACATGGTGTTTTTCTCATCTGCAGGTATCATTGCGGTGGTGATCTTCACCATACTATGTACTCTGGTGTTCCTGATCCGCTACATGTTCCGCCACAAAGGCACCTACCACACCAACGAGGCCAAGGGCAGCGGGGAGTCCGCTGGAGAATCAGCGGACACGGCCATCATTGGCACCGATAACCCAGAAACCATCGACGAATCAAAGAAGGAGTGGTTCATCTAACAGCCAATGACGGGACTTTGAGAGAGGAAGTGACTCGTCAGACTACAAGTTGCCACAGAAATGGAGTGGGTTATACTCAATGACCAATCACGGGAGAGATGGTGGAACGACCGTTCAACAGGACAATAATCTCCCAGAGAGGGCGGGAAAGTGGGGAAGACGTGTACAGGAATCTTTTTTGTTTGTTTGTTTGTTTGTTTTGTTTTTTTTATGCATCCAGAGTATTAGACAGAGAAGACGGACAGTTACTGAGTGGAGCACGGCTATAAGAGACTGTACATGTATATACTAACCGGCTTGTCCTTCTTTGTATCGTGCTTGGGAGTTTTCGGGAGTCCTTTGAATACTGTATATGACAAATAATTATACTTACTGGGTCGTGTGATAGCACAGATTTATTTCCAGTCTCTGTTGCATTTTGATTTTATTTTTTAACAAAAATCTTATATCAAAAATGATCAAATCAACATGCCAAACCCCTTTTTTTTATTTCATCAGGCTATGGTTGCACCAGTCAGTCAACACTCATATCTGTCAAATGACAAGCCACTATTAATGTGGTAATATAGAGTTGAATATGGATGCCAAAAGTCCCTTTGTAAATACAATATTTTGTGTTGTTTTTTCTTTTTCTCAAAAGATTTATTCAGAGTCCAGTACATAAACACTAATGAGAAATTTCATATCTATATTACAATTATATCATAAGTCTGTCCATTATAAATGTGTGAAATATAGAGTTTTATGTTTAAATCTTATGACATTCGATTGTATGGGACATTCCTTTCTGAGGAAGGGCAGAGAGGGGTTTCTCAGAGCATGATGGGAAATCATGACACTCCATGGTTGGTTTAGCTCAGCGCGGCAGCTCTCTTTTCATTTGGAATCGGTGAAACCGTGAGCCTTTACTCATTCAGACTTGAGAGGTCGGTATGTTTCTTTGCCAAACACTTGAGTCTTATGTCATTCACCGATCGACCCAGATTTTTGCATTAATTGTTTGACTTTGCGTTAAGGAATTTCTTTGTATGTCTTTACATCCTACACTGGCGCTGTGGGCTGTACGTGTACAGTGCGTGCATGCATCTGTGAGTATATGTGTAGGTCAGATGAACAGGATTTATTATATTGGACAAAATGACTGCCAGCAAAGACAGATTGAACAACATGCCTGACATTTAATGGGTTGTATTGATGTACTAAACACCATGCATTTCATGGTTGAAGCAGCATAAAACAAAACAAAAATCATTGACAGTTAACATTTGTTCAAGATCTAGGATGAGGTTAACATGATAATTGGCTTAGTAGTCCATTGTGCCTTCAAGGTGTTGAGCCATTTCGCCTTGCCCTGGACTATTTAACACAGGCTTACTACAAGAACTTGACTGCTGCTGCATGAATTCTCATTTAACAGTGTTTAGGTTCTTTTATGTGTCCTAATCTGAATGGCGCTGTTTTCCTGTGAATCTCAATCAAAGCTTGATTTTTGAATAGAGAATGTTTGGGCAAAGGATCCAGCAAAGTTTCTCTTTAATTCCATAAAACTTCAACTTTGTCAAGCTGTGTAGGGTTTTTTGCAGCAGGAGCAGCTACACTGATGTACAGAAGAGCTGCACACTACACAATATACAAGAGGTTTACACCTACCTTCTGGAACACACATACACACAAACGTGCATGTTTGATAGAGCATGAGTCAAGGTTGTTCATTCAATTACAAGAGCAGCGTGTTCAGAATGAGGAGGCTTCTGCTTTGTGAGCAATGACTTGAGCTTCACTCTTAACAGTGCCACTGCTGTCCGATATGCATTCAGAAGATGTACATTATATAAATGTACATGTAAATGTAAATTATATTTTCTAACCATGTTGTTTTCCTGTCAGTTATGTTTACCTGTTTTCCTTACCATAGCATTTACCTTACAGTGGGTTACAGTTAAAACCAGCTGCCAACTTTGCTTTTTCATTGTGAATTCGCTTTTTGTATGTATGTTCGGTTAAATTGCTGCCATGGCGCCCTGTTACATGGATGATTTTATACGTTGTCATCGAACACCTCATGGTTGAGCACTAACTGTGCATCACACAGAGACAGCTGGTCAGCTCAGCCTGCCTTCTACTGCAGCCTCAAAGAAGACCTCCATCCATACATCACTCCATGAAGGCAAATGAGTGACACTACTTTCCTTTTTTAAGGTAATTATACTATTCAGACTATACATAAACACGCACACACGCCCTTGATATGTGGTTTGAACATAACAACGATGATAACGGATTATCGGCTCCAGAAACAAAATCATAACCCACATGTTTTGCTTTCAGTTCTATTGAGTTCAATAAAGAGTGTTTGATCTTTAATATCAGCCTTTTTGTACGTGTCTCTTTCGTGTGAACACATATGTTGGCATGCACACATCTTCAGACAGAGAAAGCATTATGAAGCACATGTCACACACATGGCAGAGGATATTCGTGGGACATCTTGCAGCTAATACCATATAATCCTGATGATACTAAGGCAGTGAGTCTGATTCACGACCTACAGCTGCATGTCACCACTCCTTTTCATCCTTACTTAAGTGAAAATGCCATGAAATCAAAAGATAATTAAGAAGTAGATTCCTCAAAGAATAGTCTAACATAAATCCATAAGATTAAAAGGGGAGGAGTGAGAATAAGAAGGACACAGGGAGTCTGAGGGGATGAGTCATGACTCCACAGATTTTCTAACTGGGTTACTTAGAAAGCAATTTAATGCCAGACCCTGCTCTATTTATCACATACAGCAAAAGAAATGATAATGTTTGTTTTTTTTCTATCTATGTATCTATAAAACTTTGTGAAACTGCTATTTTCTGAGCAATATTGATACATGTCGTTTTTGCTTTTTTAATTTTTTAATTTTTTGGCTTAAGAACGTTTCAATGTGAGGGTTTGTCAGAGACAGGTCATAGGCTGCCCCCTTGTGGTCCGATGGAGTAGCTTCATTCAGAAGTGAAAAGGGGAAAAAAAAAAAAAAGCATTATATTTAACTCGGTTCAATAAAACTTTATTTATCCCTGTCAGTACAATTGTATGCAGCAGCTCACCACATAAGGCTCATAATATTCAGTTTTTGTTGGCATTGTCAGAAATATGTAAATTCAATAATCCTGGTTGTCCTCCAGCTGCTCAGCGGTCAGTGTGTGCGCTCTTTCCCTGCGCTCCTGTCTTGGACAACTTGCTCAGCAAAATAAGGGGTAAGTATGAGCACTCAGCTCTGTTTGCTGACCTCTTTACATCACTTACATGTGACATTACATAACAGCTGTCAGGTCAAATATATTTCTGGTTCGCACAATGTATTTGTACACATAGCTTATTATAAAGCTTCATTGTAATACATGATGAAACATTGTTTTCTTGTTTCCTTTGTAGAGACAAGGCATTTTCAAATCACTTGTCACATTGTCTTCATTATAGTAAATAGAGGGCCCACAGTCCATCTGTAAAGGCTTATGATCTGATACTTTTTGTATCGGGTTTGTCTAAAAACAAGAATTTGCATT